TGACCTCGGCCGGCCAAATCCGAGGTGACGATTTTGACGTTTCCCGTCTTGTTCGGATATTTATGTGTAGCGTTCCGAAATTTATGTGATGTAGGAATGTAAAAAGAATATCGATACAATAATAAAATACCGTCAATAATAAAACAAAGTAGCATTTGGAAAATGAAAATGCTACAAGAGGGAAAAACTAAGTAAAACAAAGATGCATTCGGTCTCTTTAAATAGGATATTTAAAGAACATAAAGCGGATGCGTATGATGAATCGCTACCATTGATCGCTACAAAAAAGCTGTGCTACAGATTAGGTATTTCAATTGGGAACACAATGGGCGCGTTCAGAGACGGTCAGCGGCTGAGTGGCTGAGTAAGCGGTTTCCCTTAACGGTCACTTTTTACACGCAAAAACAGTCAGCCGCTGAGCAAAATACTCAGCGGTCGGTCAGCCGCTGTGTTCCCTGAACGCTCACATTTTTTATAAAAGGCAACAATGCATTCTAGAAGGAAAAAAATTGGTCAAGTGCCAGTCGGACGCGCGCACGAAGGGTTCCGTACCATTCATTATCTATACAACATTAGACACTATATTATTATAAACTTTTTTTCCGATTTAGCTGAAATTTTGAATGCTCGTATAAGTAATTTAAAAAAAATGAAGAAACACATTACTAAAAATTGTATTAATCAATAATAAATATGTAAAAAGTAAAAATAAATATGTAAAAACATGTACAAATTAAAAAAAAACGATTAAAAGAAAGTAGCCTTGACTAGGATTCGAACCTGCCTTACTACGGCTCCAACGTCATAGCAGCGTAAAGTCCTAACGCTTTAACCACGCGGCCACTGAGGACTTGAAAGATTCTATGTAAAATTCTTACTTAAAAGATAATGTTTAGTGAAAGTACTTTTTTATTCATAAACATTTATTTAATTCTGTTTTTAGTATTTGTTCTTATAGCGGCAACATAGATACACTATCTGTGAAAATTTCAAATGTCTAGCTATAACGGTTCATAAGATAGACCTTTGTGACAGACGGACGGACAGAGAAGTTTTAGGGCCATTTCGCACCAACACAGTCCAGTCTAGTCCCGTCAGATCACTACAGTCCACTGCTTTCACACCAAACGCGTCCAACGTTTGTTGATGACATTTTTTTAACATGTTTTCAGCAAAAATAAGCAGTTTAACAACAGAACGCTTTCAAAATGGACGAGATTCTTAGAGTAATTTTTTACGGCGATTAGAAAAAAGAAGGCGAAGGAGAAATTTATTTTGGATACATCCCATTCATAATAGAATACTTGTTTTCCGATGTTTTAGTCACTTATTTCCCGATTTATTAGATGATGCCAAGAAATTTTACAATTTTTTTCGAATGGAACCAAATGTATTTCATCATTGTGTACAAATATCGCAAATGACTGGCTTAAAAATTCGACCGAACAAATCACTATCAGTCTTGACTTGTCTGGACGCGGCTGGACTGTACACGACGTAGAGGTGTGTAGTTCGTGAACGAACTAGTTCCAATGAACTATTCCGACCCCGGAATGAAAGGAACTAGTTCCTGGTTTCTCAAAGAACTAGTTCCTCAGGATCTATTCCGGGATCGAGACTGTGACCGATATAGAATAATATGCGACGACGACTGATCGGCTAGCGCGCGTAGTCCAATGGTAGACAAGAGTGGGGAGTGCCAGCCGTACGTTATCGGATCCGGACCTAGAGGAACTAAACTAAATAGACTAGTTTACGTAATTGCAGAAAACGGCAAAAAACACAAGATGACGTGCGGGGTACCGCAGGGGTCCATTCTCGGACCGACCTTGTGGAACATCTTCTACGACCAGATCCTGAGGGTCGATATTGGACCAGGTAATCTACTGATTGCTTATGCGGATGATCTGGCTGTCCTGATCACCGCTCCGAACATCACTATCTTCGAAGAAAACACACAAACAGCTGCCCTAACTATAACCAATAAGTCGGATAGAATGGACATACATCTGGCGCCAGAAAAATCAGAACTAGTTGTTCTCGTAGGACATCGCAAGACGACGAACTTAAATATCCAATTGGGAAATTGCCACATCAGACCTCAAAAGGCAATAAAATATATGGGCGTTTGGCTTGATTCCGGGATGCGCATGACTACACATGTCCTTAAAATCAGGGACAGGACGGTTGATACCATTAAACAGCTGACCAGAATCACTCCCAATATTAGAGGCCCCAGTGACGGAAAGAGGAGAATGCTTGCCTCGGTTGTGCATTCGATGATCATGTACGCCTCGCCCATTTGGAGCAGGGCAACAGATTATAAATACTATGAAAAAGTCCTCGAGAAAATTAACAGAATGCTAGCCCTACGCGTAGTGTCGGCGTATCGTACAGTTTCCACAGAAGCTGTTCTCGCCCTAGCAAAAATCCCCCCAATTATCCTACAAATCGAGGAAAGAAATTTAATATACAGGCACGGCTTAGGGTATCGATCAGAGGCCAGGAAGATAATACTGGATAAATGGCAGAACCGATGGGAGGCATACCAGGGTCGAATTAAGATATTTATCCCGGACGTGAGGGTTTGGATAAACAACACGTGGACGAAAACGGACTATTACATCGGCGATGACAGGGCACGGTGCTTTTGGAGAGTACCTGTTTAAAATAACTAAGGCAGAATCCACAAAATGCTGGTATTGTGAAGCATCAGACACGGCCAATCACACATTATTCGAGTGTAGTAGGCATTTGGAGACTAGAGCATCGGCGGAACAAATATGCAAGGTTAAAATAACAAGGGAAAATGTCGGCGAGCTTATGATGGAAAATAGAGAGAACTGTGAAGCAATCACCAGGATGATGAGAGCCATCATGCTTAAAAACAGGAAGATGAAAAGATAAAAATTTGGCAGACACAGACATAAGTGGCGAAACAATCTCCAGTCTTGAAGTAATGCCGCAAGGCGGTTCCGAGATTGGAGAGGTAACTCTACAGATGGGTTTTTAGTGGGTATGACTCGGGTGAGAGGTGACCCCCACACTCTGGCTGTAAATGGCGTTTCCCATCTATAAAAAAAAAGTTTACGTACCAACGGATCGGGCCAGCAGCGCGATCGATGCTACGCAGGAGTGGGGAGTGCCAGCCGTATGCCGTATGTTATCGGATCCGGACCTAAAGGAACTAGAGGAACTAAATGAAAGACTAGTTTACGTATGGATTAGCCAGCGCGATTGATGCTAGACAGGCGTGGGGAGTGCCAGCCGTATGTTATCGGATCCGGACAGAGGAACTATTAAAAGACTAGTTCACGGGAATCTATTCAGTCGGGCAGATCCGAGATATAATACAAGGCGACGACGATGGATTCGGCTTTGTCTATTGCCACAGCCGGCGCGGCGTAATTACCACAGAAAATTGTCATGGATACTGTTTTTAGATTTTTAGTTTGTTTTTTAAATATTTTATGGGAATGTTTCAATTTAGGTCCCTAAAATTAAGAAATATCTTATAAAACGAAGTAGATATTCTGAATTTTTAGACAAAAACAAAAAGCTTGAAGTGAGGAAAAATGCAATTTTTCTTAAAATTTTTGTAATATTTGCTCCAATTGATTTATGATATAGTTTTTTAAATTCTGACTTGAGTTTTTTTTTAATTTTTTTTTATCTGCAATAAAACTTACCTATATGTTTTTAACATACACAATTACACGTCTCGTTATATCTCTAAATTATACAGATCGTACTGTGAATAGTTCTGACTGACAACGAAACGCATTAGCAAGCAAGGGGGATGTAAATGTTAGTCGGGAACTATTGTGAACTAAAGACCTAGTTCAAGGAACTATTCCTCTGGAGGAACTAGAACTAAGGAACTAGTTCCTCCCAAGGAACTAGAATTCCCACCTCTAACACGACGTGTTTTGTTTGAAAACAACTTTCGTTCCCGCATTTGTTTTTCTCATGACTGTTCTAGACTGGATTCAGCAACGTCCGACGTGACTGATCGTGACTGGATTGGACTGTGTTGGTGCGAAATGGCCCTTAGTAATAGGGTTCCCGTTTTTACCCTTTGGGTACGGAACCCTAAAAAACGAATTCTGACAACGCCATAGCCCTATTAAAGGTCTCAGATCACCGCGACATTTATCAGCAAGATGAAATAAGTGCCACATGTGTAAGTTAATTAATTAGATAGCCAGTCGACTTCGCTACTTTTTATTATTAGAATTACAATATTATAGTTGAAAAACATGCAAAAGAATTGACAACTTTTCAATATCAAGTAATTACACAAAATTTGTTACGAGTACTAAACCAATCATTTAAGAAAATCTTTTCGAATTAACTAATTATGTTTTTATTCGCGCCTTTTTTTATTCTACCAGTTACAGTAGAATTGTACTTGTTAAAAATTGGCGCCGGGAGGCACGTATAGCCGCCCATACTAAAATATGTTAATATCTCGAAAACTGCGACTTTGACTGATTTTGATGTTATTACAAATTTTTTTGCAAATATTATTCCTAATCTTAATTTGAAAACCGCGTTTCGCTAGCTACTGTAATTTTGGAGTTACGATTTTTTAAAATTTTTAACCCCCTCCCATACCCCCTTACCAACCCCCACCCCACCAAAAACTAATGGCCAGATTCTCGGGTGCCACAGTATTTTTGTGCCAAATTTGGTTAAAATCGGTTCAGCGGTTTTTGAGTTATCGTGTTAACAGACAGACAGAGACACTATGAAAATATTTTGTATTTAGGTCATTTATGACCCAAGTAACTCATTTTGAGTGAAATTAAAAAAACTTTTTTTTGCCGATCCTAATAGGATCCTACCATACCTATTGGTATGGCCGGCTAAAAATAACTAGTTTATGTCTATTTTATGGCTCTTGGCCTAGTGTATTTGTGCAAATTGAAACTGAAACACCAAATGAAAAAGATAAACAGAACAAGTTAATAAAATATAATAGAAAATACTTTACCTACCTTGACTACTTGTACAACTATGATCTCCCAGAGATTCCGGATTGGTGGAAACGCTGATCCTGTCAGATTCGCTACCTTCTTCTTTTCTTTTTAGAGCCTGCAATTAGAAACAACAAAGAAATAAAACAATCCTTATTTCAAATAATTGAAAAATTATAAAAAAATATTCACCAATAAGCAAAAAAATGAAATACACCTTGCATATACCGTATGATATAATCATTTACTAAAAGTTGACAAAAAACCCTCAAAAATTAACAATAATTATAGAAAGATTAAAAAAGTATAGAACGTTGCCAGACACAAATCTCTTTCCAAAAAAATATTTTTTTCTGGAATATTAAACTACACCACCATTTAAAAAATCAATTTTAATTGAATATAAAAATAAAATACAACTATTTTATGGCCTGGCAGTAAGCGCCTTAAAAATAAAAATAGTACGGGCCAAGTAAGAAGTACCTCGCCAAAATTATTATCGATAGGCATTCCCCAGCCGTCTCTGACGCCGTTTTTTTCGATCATACGGTACCTACTACTTACACCATGAAAAATTCTAATATTTCTCTAACCAAATTTAATTATAAGATTTTACAAAAAATTACCATAGGTTATAAATTACAGTTATTGCATAATAAAAACAAAAACAATTTCTACGTCATTCTTTTACTTGTAAGCAAAAATGCACTCAAAACAATAAATTTCTAATTCAAGGAACGTTCAATGGAGAAAGTGAAGAAATTTGTGGTACCATTAAAAAACTACATGGTAAGAAAGTTATAATAAATTCACCAACAATCGCTATAAAATCGTATTGAAGAAATTGCTTCAGAAAAATCTTACTTACGAAAAAGCTTTTTGTACAGATACTACTAATATTAATTATAAATTTTGTGCTTAATAATTTACTATAAAAAGTAGATTCAGGCCAAAAATTTTATTATTATAAGATACAGATTAAATGAATTAATAAAAGTGAACAATAAACCATGAAATTATATCTTTTGTTAAATTTTTGAAATTTTCTGGGAATAAGGCCACTTAAAATTTATTAAAATAACTGTTCTTTTTATTTTATACAGAAATAAACATTTTTTTTAATAAAAGTCTTAGTAGTTCCATACTTGTTCTCAAATTTATTTTTATTAGAAAAAATAAAAAAAGTACTTTACGTTTCAAGAGGGTACTTAGACAAAAATAAAAATTACTTAAAATATTAATTCACTCTCTACCTTCCTTTTCTTAGAACACATTTCGTTCAAACGTTCTCACATAATAAAGCAACTCGAACATCAAAAACAAACAATACAACAACAACAATAATAAAAAGAACCACGTTTTGTTCCGCTTCTGAACACATCTGACATAATGGACTATTTTTAAAACAAGGAGTTGCCCTACTTATCTGTACCTTCCAATACAGGGGAGTCAACTATTATATTTAAAGATATATGGAGCAATCAACAATGGTTGAAAAAGCAGGCAATATTGTGTTAGAGAATTTTAGGATTGTTGGTAAACTACCATAAACCTACCATGATGTTACCATCGAAACGTTTTGATTTTTGCAAAATTCAACCATATTTTTATTTTCTTTTTTAATTTTCTTTAAAACGGTATGGAAATTTGGAAAATTATAAACTGGATTAACTATTTTAGAACAATCAAGACTTCTTATGAAGAATGCATTTTTCTTAAGAAAATCCGGGGACATACTGTAGATATATACAGGGTAGAAATAAATATTTTTGTTTTTTTTATTATCTTAACCTTAAAAGAATTTAAACACTACTCACTACTATATCAATTTCATTTTTCAAAATCTCCCTGTCAACATGTAGGACTACTTATTATTTTTCTTCAAAAATAAATAAAGAACATACAATATTAGTACGACACATTCTGGTTACTTAACATTTATTTAGTCATCAATTATCTATAAATGTTATTGTTTGTGTTTTTTTTCCTACTATGTAGTAGGCCAAACCGGTAAGAAATGGAGGTCAATGCCATTTTAGATCGTGTTGTAGGTTATTATTATTATTGGACAGATCGCACAGATTGAACTAACTTGATTTTATAATAAGAACTGTACCTATTTTACATAATCTCATCCATAGCCACAAGGCATCTTGAAAAAATGCATTTAAATTTAACTAGCCTACTGCATTTTCAAATTACTTTTTTATAATGAATTTATAATCAATCTGACACTGTCTATATACGCCTCAAAATAATTTATGCAGAAACTGTGTAGTATAAATTCGTTTTTGAAAATATGCTGATGTCATAGCTTATTTTTAACATTATTAATACAAAAATTATAGCTGTACTTCAACAGCTGTTTATTAGGTAACTGTATATAAATAAAAAAATGTTATATGAATAAATTGGATCTAATATATTGCTTTTATTTAAAAAAAAAAACACTGTTTTGCCACACAGGTTAGCATTTTGTTAGCAAGAATTTCTCACAGTACGAGGGTTGTTAAATAAGTAATACTGAAGACTTTTTAACTTAATTTGTGTAATTGAGCAACAAGGTATTTGCAGATGCATTGGAGGGTTTACAACGTAAGACCCACCCTAATATATCCCAACATTTCAGCTTAGTGAGAGCGCCCACCAAAGTGACGTAGCATATGACGTTGCACATGATCTGGCAAGTAACCTGCATCTAGCAAGTTACGTCGAATTGAACAAACGATAATAAGTGAACAGAAGTGTCTAGCCCCAGCAGGCAACTATTAAGCTTGATCAATCAGGTTGGTTAGCGTGGTTAATATTGGAGGGTGTTAATTCATTTGTGTTTGTTAAAAACTCTAACGTGATTGGTCGGGCTTAATAGTTGCCTGCTGGGGCTAGACACAAGTTAAGTGAACCAGCGCATACTGAAGTAGCGTTGCCAGAAACGTGTCATTTGTCGTTGTAGCATGCCACGCCACTGCTTCAAAAATAGAACTGGTTCTACTTTTCGCCACGCGCTATTAACACGTTACCCGAATTTGGTAAAAATGACAGACGATTCGGACTTTCATAATAAGTTTTGTATCACTGATTGAGACTTTTCTAACAAGCACATCAAATTTTCTTTTTTCATTCTATAAAATGCTTGAAATAATTCTGGATTAAATCCTAACCTAACCTAACCTAACCTCCGGTTTCACCGTAAATGACTACAACTTTTGATTTTTAAATGGCACCCACGGTATTTTTTTACTTTATTCGATAGAAAATGACAATCTGAATCGAATGACATATCATACGTCAATTTTTGACATAGTCATTCAAAAACAAATAGTATTTTAAATTTCAATCTAGAGTGCCATGGCTGTGTTAAAAACACTATTTTTTAATCAAAGAGTCTTCGAAAAATAGATTTGATCAGCTAGTTTTGTAAGTGTCTTGTCCTGGCCGGTTAAAAGATGCCCAAATCGTATTTTTAATCATATCTCAATTTTTTCAAAGGGAACGAGGGTAGCTCATTAGCATATTTGGAAAAATCATTTTTTTACGAATAATTTGATACCACACACTTGGTATTTTGAATCAAATTGTCTAGGAACCGCATGTTACAATTTCAAATAAACCATATGCGAAAATGTCAAAAGTTGACATATGATATGTCATTCGATTGAGAGTGTTATTTTCTATCGAATAAAGTAAAAAACACCGAGGGTGCCATTTAAAAATCAAAAGATGTAGTCATTTCCGGTGAAACCGGAAGTGACCGAAAACAATTGAATACGTCAATCAATCCCAATTCATGTCATATACTAACATACCAAATCTCGTTGTTTTATGTGAAAAAATAAAAAAGTTATAGGGGTGAGCCACTTTTGAGACGCATCCGGTATATCGTTAACGTTTATGCACAGTTTTCATTAAAAATAACGTAAAAAACAACGAACAAATGACAGAGAGCTACAAGTAAAGTTCAACAACAAATTGCATCTTTAAAAAACAGTTTGGTTTTTTTTTGGTAGCCCGCTCACGAACATACACCGACTATATTGCTCTTCAGATGAGATAAGATGACCTCTTTGAGCGTAATAAAGCAACGACAACGTAGAACGGGTCCCACGTTAGATCCTATATATCTCTTTAATATCGTATAACAATTAAGGAAAGGACGTTTTTGTGCGGCGGTATATTGCGATCCATTAGAAGATTACGTTTAAAGCCGTGAAATGGGCTCCCATTGTGGTTGGCTTTAAACGCGAGCCGTAAATCTCAGATTTATGTGAATCGTGTTTTTCCTAACCTAAAATCAGTCCTTTATTGTCGAGTTTCATATTAAACTTATTAAAAAAAGAAGCAACCGTTATTGTACGTGTTCATGTGAAAGTTGAAACTGAAAAAATCGGTGTCCTAAAATCAACCATCATCATCATCATTTTCAGCTTATTCAACCATTTCCCATTATGGTGTAGCTTCCCTTACATATTCTCTTTGTAGTTGGGCCTATTGTTGTTTATTGTTGGCTATGCGGGCCCAAGTTATCCCTGCTAATTTCCTATACGGGGTAACGAAAAGGCAGATGAAATGGTCACACAAAGCTCATCAATACCCCCATTCATAGACCCAGAACCCTCCTGCGCGCTGCAAAAGCAGTCACTAGGATAGCAACAAAACAGTGTGTGCCCAACGAATTTCTAGAATGGTGGAAAAATGCACCAGGACCGAGGCAGACGAAAAAGTTCAGAGAAGAATATTCACAAAAAAATTATGGCTGAGTTTGGCTAAGGACATAGTGAAGCGGCGAGCAAGCAGCGCGATACCACGTCGAGTAAGCCTCGAGGTGCTGAAACATAGCAGAGCGGCGAGGAATAGGGAGATACTTGTGCAAATTTATTATTTTCATTTGCTTACTGATAATTTAAAATGTTAACAGTGGCTAAAATTCTAGGCAGTAATGTCGCAAACATTTGGTTAGATGAAGTTTTCAAAAACCCAAGAAAGTATGGCAAGTTTTACAGCCTTTGCGAAAATTTGTTGCCACTTCATCTCATAACTTATCTAAAATGTACTGGTTATGGTGATTACTGTCTTTCTGATCCCATAAAATCTCTCTTAAAAATACTAAATCTATTAATT